CCTCGGTGCTTGGCATGTACGCGGCAGCTGGGCCCTACGCGGGCGCACCCAACTACAGCGCCTTTCTGCCCTACGCCGCCGATCTCAGCCTCTTCTCGCAGATGGTGAGTGAGCCCCGTCACCCAGCCGGGGCAAAGGCGCGCCCGGGGCCCTCGACTCAGAAAGGCCCGCGGGCCCGTGAGGCAGCAGCTTGGGCCGGGGCGGACGAGGCCACAGGAGCAGGCCTGGGGCGCGCGGCCTGTGCGGGAAGTTGGGGACCCCCCCGCCCGCAGCCCCGCCGGGTCCCGGACGCACTGTCCTACGGACCAAGACGGGCCTTCCCGGCTCCCGCGATCGGCTCAGCTTCGACCTGGCCACAGGAAGACACGCTTTTCTCAGGGTTTGGTCAAACAGCGAGAGTTGTAGTGAGTTTCCCACATGGAAGAAGCTTTTAAGGTCTAGGGGAATTGGTTATTATAATCATCGTAACAATAGCAATCAGTGGAGTCGGAGGGGGGTCTCTTTTTTTTGCGGGGGGAGTTAGAATTTAGGATTTTTTTGTTTTTAAAAATGGATGTAAGTTGAAATCATTCGGGGCGTCTGAAACGGTGTTGACTTTGAGTTTCGTTAAGTTGCCAAAGTTTTCATTTGCACCGAAAGAAAAGCACTTTTCTTCCCGCGTTACATAATGGAGGATTAAAGAAAACAGTGTCCCTGGGCTTAAAATAAATGGTGTCCTCCTTGCCTCCGGGCCCTGCCGGTGTTAGATGGGGGAGGGGCAGAAAATTTAATTCTCCGCAGGGACATTGGCCGGTCTGTCGGGCGACATGATCCATTTTCCTTGGTCTGATGCAAGGTCGCGGCTTAAACTTCAGGTTGCTGGCGAATCGCGCGGGGCGCGCAGGGGGGTCGGCGAGTTGGCTCCTTCTGAGCTGCCGCTCCAGTGTTTAGGCCATGTCTGGGCATCCCAATTCCCCTCACTCGGCGAAGAGACACAAACGAAATCCCCGCCAAGTGTGTCCAAGAGGCCGGCGTGCGTGTTTTCCCTGTAAACTTTTCTGGTAGTTTTTCTGGGGGGAAAAAAAAACGATTTCTGTGAAAAGCCACTCGGGTTGTCTTTCAGCTCCCTTACGGATCTCAATAGATGAGCTCCCATTTTGTTCTGGCGGCCCGGAGGCCGGGAAGCAATCAGAGATTTACAAGATGCCCTTTCAAAAAGATTCCCCAGCAGAAAAGAGGCCAATATATTACCCCCCCCCCTTTAAAATTTTTTTATTTTACAATTACAATCGAAATCATTCGAAAAGTGCCAAATACACTGTGAAATGTGAAAGAAAAAATGAAATCCGGTCACAAAAAACCGTTTCTCTTTGGCCACCGTCATCAAACGCATTTAGTTAAAGGAGTCTTCTGAGGGTGCTTTACAACTTTTTCAGAGGCGAGAATCCCCTTTACTTCGTAGCAACTCAGAACAGTTTTGCTTCATCAGTTATTTTACAATTCCAAAGACGCTTTGTACTATTTAGGGCCCCTCTGTCTGCGTGCGGGCTGTAAGTAGAATCTGTTTCCGATTGCCCAGGTGGAAAAGGGAAATACAAAATATTTTACGAAGGGACAGTAGGTGATAAAAAAAAAAAAAAAAAGAGAGAGAGAGAGAGAAAATGTCCCCAGAAGTGTTGTGCTTGGTACAATCTTGGAAAGTATGGTGAAACTCAACGCCTCTTCCCCCAACTCTCGCATGGCTGGCCTCGCTTGCTTTCTAAGACATTCTGATTAGGCGTTGGAGAGTCAAAAAGGAGAAAACTGGGAGCAAGTGTCTGGGCAATTTATGGTAATAATGAGGCCTAATGAGGTTGTTAGAAAGATAAAATGTTATTTACCAAAACACCTGATGGGATAATTTGACTCGCCTGTGTTTTACTACTGATGATAAAAAGAATATTGATTGCAAATAAATCAGGGCCTCTAAATGCCTGCTTTAACAGTTTGTGTTTGTGCGCTCCAGATCAAAGGCAAACTTAAGAGATAAAGTAACCAAAGCGGGACCTAAGAAACAGCTGAACCGGTTTCCCTCCTCTCAGTTGGCTGTTCCTGGCCCTTAGCGTTAATATTTTAGCTGATAAACCCTCCTTTTGTATTTAAGAAAACAAATGGTGTTTTTGTTATTGTTGTCCAAGAGGGCCAGGATTAAAATTTAAAATGACCTGTCACCACGGAAGGCCTTTAAGTGTGGGCCAGTCATTCTATGCAGATTAATTGGGGGTGGGGGGTGAGGAAGAAGACTGCTTTCGTTTTAAAATTGCGTGCAGATTTAGACCCAAAGACAAACGAGATGGTTTATTTTGTTTGACCCCCTCAGGGTCGCTGGGAGGAGGCTGGGGCCGTGGGTCGTTCCTTCTTGTTAACAGGTTTTCCCCCTCTCGCTGGTGGGAGACACTCTTGGAAAGCTGTATTTCTGGAGCTCCCTGGGAGGAGGAGGCTGTAGGGAAATTCTGTGGGGGCCCGCTTCTCTTGGCTCCTTGGGAACTTTTCTGCAGTGATAAAACGTTCACCGGGATCTGTTGGAGCGCAGTCCAGGATTTTGGTGGTGATTTTACACACTTACCTTCTTTTGGAGTTGATTGGGGGCCTACTGCTCTGGGAAGACCTCAGAGGTGCTGAACTGGGCCAGAGGTTGCTCTGGTGGCTGGAGGTTAGGGAGCGGCTGTCCCTCACCTTTCCATCTTCTGGGACTCATTTTTTTCCCTCCCCTTTCCTTTCTCTCCCCCCTCACTTGGCCTGTGGTTGCAGGGCTCGCAGTATGAACTCAAGGACAATCCCGGGGTTCACCCCGCCACCTTCGCGGCCCACACAGCACCGGCATATTACCCCTATGGCCAGTTTCAGTACGGGGACCCGGGGCGACCCAAGAACGCCACTCGTGAGAGCACCAGCACGCTCAAGGCCTGGCTCAATGAGCACCGCAAGAACCCCTACCCCACGAAGGGTGAGAAGATCATGCTGGCCATCATCACCAAGATGACCCTGACGCAGGTCTCCACCTGGTTCGCCAACGCGCGCCGGCGCCTTAAGAAGGAGAACAAGGTGACGTGGGGTGCCCGCAGCAAGGATCAGGAAGACGGTGCCCTCTTTGGCAGCGACACAGAGGGCGACCCCGAGAAGGCCGAAGACGACGAGGAAATTGATCTGGAGAGCATCGACATCGACAAGATCGACGAACATGATGGCGACCAAAGCAACGAGGACGACGAGGACAAGGCCGAGGCACCGCGCGCTGCCGCCGCCGCTGTCCCGCTCCCCCGGGGCCAGGGCTCGCCTCTGGCGGTCACCGACGCGCTCAAGCCTCAGGACTCGCCCCTGGGCCTGGCCAAGGAGGCCCCAGAACCCTGCAGCACGCGTCTGTTGAGCCCTGGCGCAGCGGCCAGCGGCCTTCAGGGCACGCAGCACAGCAAGCCCAAGATCTGGTCGCTGGCTGAGACGGCCACCAGCCCCGACGGCGCGCCCAAGGCCTCCCCACCGCCGCCCTCAGGCCACCCTGGCGCGCACGGGCCCCAGGCAGGCGCGCCTTTGCAGCACCCCGCCTTCCTGCCTAGCCACGGACTGTACACCTGCCACATCGGCAAGTTCTCCAACTGGACCAACGGCGCCTTCCTGGCTCAGGGTTCGCTGCTCAACATGCGCTCCTTCCTGGGCGTCGGCGCGCCCCACGCCGCACCCCACGGTTCGCACCTGCCGGCGCCGCCGCCACCACCGCAGCCACCGGTCGCAGTGGCCGCGGGGGCCCTGCATGGTGACAAGGCCTCAGCCCGCAGCAGCCCCGCGCTCCCAGGTACAGCCCCCGGGTGGGGGGAGGCACGCTACTGGAAAAGCACCCTGGTCAAGACCGCAGACCAGTCAGCTTGGTTTGAATTCGCAGAGTGAGGCCTGTTCAGGCCTGGATAGGTGGGTGGTAGTTGCTATTCCTAGCGTCCAGCCAGAGTGGTAGGCGGGTGGGGTGGGGAAAAGGACCACGCGCCTCTGTGAACCTCCTCTCTACCCCCCCACTTATCCCGGGTCCTAATGCTTTGCTTTTGACTCCTTCTTGGCAGAAAGAGACCATGTCCCCAGGGCAGACTCTCCAGCCCAGCAACTTAAGTCACCATTCCAGCCGGTACGCGACAAGTGAGTGCGCTTTACTTTTACCCAGGGGGTGGGGAGTTGGAGTCCTGAGCGGGCAGCCAGGGCGGAGGCGGTGGGGGTCAGAGCACGGAGCTCCAGGCTCTGCGCGGTGAGTTAGCGGCATCCCCCGGTTTTCTATGGACCCGGGAGCCGTGTGGGGGAGGCCTTCACGCCCCGGGGGAAGCGGATGGTGGATCGGGCACCGCCAGATCGCAGCGCCCATCCACTGACCCGGCTCCGTGTCTTCTCGCTGTGTTTCCCCTGCAGCTCGCTGGCCCCGCAGGAGGGAACGCCGCGGATCCTAGCAGCCCTCCCGTCCGCCTGATTAAGGGTCCTCTTTTACTTTTGCGGGGGAGGGGGGAGGGAAGGGGGGGTCTGGGGAGGGAGGGGATAAGGGAGGAATTAAGACAAATATTTCCGACTGGTGTAAAGGACAAATATGGCCACGACGTCAACGACTCCCATCCATTGCTTTCTGCAGAAAGGGGTTCGTCCAGACCGAGCTCAGTCCCCAAGGCCCTGGCCTGGACTTGGTTCGCGTTTGCCATTCTCGAGTTGATTCTCGGTGCGTTAAATGCCCCTATGTGCTTGTGTCTTTTTTTCTTCTTCTTCTTTCTTTCTGTATATAGAGTGATTTCAGGTTGTAAATAGCGCGTCAGCGAACTTGTCTAAATCATATATTTTTGTCTAATAAACTAAATGAAATGATATCTGCTGTCCCCGCTACTGTGTGGCCTGCGTGGTGGTTGTCCTAGTGGTGGACTGGAGGGGTCCTGGGTCCTGGATTCCAGACCAAGGAATGTTCCTGAAGTGGTTCCGGGAGAATAGCCCCTGGGAGGGGCCTGTCGAACATTATTTCCACTCAAGAATCCGGTGTTTCAAACGCATAGTCTTTTTGGAACTTAAAGGGCTGATGGTTCTGTTGTTGAATTGTTAATATTGTCATGAGAACAATTTTTACTTGGCAGTTTAATTCCCCCCCCCCCCCCCACCACCACCATTCTACATACATTTTTTCCAGGGCACGCCTTTCTCAGAACTTAAATGAGTTCGATTTGAGACAGTTTATAAAATGATTATTTTTAAGTGGACAAAAATGGGTGAAAATGACAAGAATTTCCAATCAGGCCCCCAAAGGATAACTTAGGATTCGAAATCCATTTATAACTATTGGCTCAACGGTGCATGGTGGCGCCGGGGCGTTTTGTGGATGGAATGAGGAAATAATGGAGTATGAAATTTAGCTTGGAATGTATTTTTTAGTGACTTAGTTAAATCAAACGTGCAGAAATTGGAAGGCTCTCTTAAAGTCTCTTAATAGGCAGGCGGCGACGCGGTATTTAAGTGGAGGAAGTCTGGAGGCTTGTGGGAAAGGGACCTGCAGTTTGCTGCTTCTGGGGGACAGGCAGAGGGAAGGGATCCTGGGTGATTCCCTTTAAGTTCCTGTGCTGTGGGCTGCGTTCTCTTGTTCTGGGATGTGCTCCCCTGAGTGATCCCAGAATCAAATAAACCCCCAGATGGCCGCAGTCAGGGCACCCAGGAAGGAGACAGCCGGGGACGACTTTAGGCCAACAGTGTGAGACCTGGTCGAGTTGTTTTTAACTGAATGATTCAGACATGGTCCGGGAATATTGCGATAGGTCCTCCAGAAATACATGCAGCCGCCGCCGCAGCCGCGTCTCTCCGGAGAGGCCCTCGGGTGTGTATGACTTTGTGCTGAAATTCTGCAAAAGGAGGGAGAGAGAGAGAGCAAAGCCCTGGGCAGCGGGGACGCGGGTTGCTGGGGACAGCGGGAGCTGGGGGAGAGGGCTGCGTCCCTGCCAAGGGACTATATGTCCCCTTCCCCTTCCGGAGATGAATTCTCCGGCAGCTCCCCGTCCCCTAGGGCTGTCCGCGTCCGTGTGTTCCGGCTCCGAGAGGAGGAAGTGGGGACGCGGGTTCTGGGGTGGGAAGAAAGAGGGCAACTAGTGCTGGGGACTGGAGGTGCGAACCCACTGCGACCCACCTCCATGTCCTCCTCTGGTCCCACCCAAGCCCCCGCTGTGTAATTAGAAAGCTAGGTCCCTTCCCCAAGCCGGGGCTACAAAAAAGCGAAGGGAATGAAGCACAGAAAAGGCTGGGTGTGTGTAGGGGAGGGCGGGTGCCCAGAGAATTCCAGCCTCGGCCGGGCCCAGGACTGCCTGGGCTATTTCTGCGCGCGTTGCTCAGTCATCCGAATTGGGCAGGCTCGAGGCGCCCTCTATAGACCAAACGCGTAATAGAAGCCCCGAAGGCTTCCAACATGATCTGGGGGCGTGACCCAAATTTGGGAACTCTAGGTCCTTGGGTTGCGATGGGCAGGAGCCTGGATTTGGGACAGTGAGACCTGCTCTGTGCTCCCGGAGGCTGTCCACTCATAGATTGGTTCTACCGGGTAGACTGCTGGGGGGTGAGGTGTGTGTTGGGGAGTGGGCGCCTGGTGTCTTGCAGGGCATGTCATTTACTGTATTGGGGTTCCTGGAATTAGAGAGGTGTTCCCAGTCAGTCCTAGCTTCCAGGGGTTTAGGGATCATCATATTCCTGGGGTGCACATCCCTGAATATTTAGAACCCAGAGCACTCCCCTTAGATGGTTGCAGGTCAGGAGCTCCTGGACCAGCGGGTCCTGCACATTCGATGAAGAGACGCGCATTCCGCAGTTGCTAAAATATTACCAGGATCTCCAGTGTAAGCCGGGGAATCCAGGAGCCGCAAGTGGGGTTCAAGCATTGAGGACTAGGTTTCTGCGTCTGGTCAGCCTCAGTTCGCTTTCATTTCTGAATCAAAGAGGTAACCGCTTCCCCCTCCCCCCACATTCTTTCTGCTCTGTAAGATCCTTGAGTGTCTCAACATGGCCACCCACGCGGGCCAGCACGTGCTTACCTGTGTGCGTGGTGGGGAGGGGATGGGGGCTACGAAGGTCCTGCGTCCTGGACGTTGTGAAGACTATGGGATCCCTCTTGGGACCAAAGCAAAAACAAAACAAAAAAAGAAATGAAAAGAAAGCAAAAAGCAATCAGAGCGCTGACGTCGTGACTGTTTGTCTCCAGTAAAATGCTAGAAATGAATTTTTAATCGAGTGTCGAAGAGCATTCTTTTTTGTCCTTTTGTGCGGTCTATTGACGTCTCTTCTAGCCACCATATACCTGGCTGCCAGCCCCTGGTGGTGTGGAGCTGGTACCTCGGCGCCTGAAGTGGCACGCTAAAGGGAGGCAGCTGTCTTTGCTTCCAAGGCCAAATTCTTCCATTTTTCCAGAAGTTTGTTCCGGCTGAGTTGACCCCCTCTCCATCCTACCCAGGGAAAAAAAAAACTTGATGAAGAACCAGGAGGAGGCTAAACCCCAAAGGGATGTGTTTTAGTGTGTGTGTTCACAGACCTGGAGGGACATTCCGCTAGGACCGGTTCCCTAAAAGGGGAACAAGGAGTTCCCAGAAGGATCTATGCTCTATAGATCCTTATTCTCATGGGGTTGGATAGAAGAAGATACATCCAGCCCCAGGGAACTTCTCTCGGCTCCATCCCCAGCTTCCCAGCTGGCTGGCTGGCCTGAGGCACCTTCCTTGTTCTGGGACCTTGGGACCTATCCCAGTCATAGATCCACTGGAGTCTTGAAATTTCCCAGCTCCCCCTGTCGTTTCCTCCCTCCTCTCATCAATTATTCACCCACACATTTATCTCGCCTGCAATATGGAGAATTCATATTCATATCTCGGTTTTAGTGGTCTGACACTGATTAATGTAATATGCGCCAGGGCTACAGGGGCCCGCCACCCGATGAATCATGTCCTATAAAGTTTCAGCTGTCCTTGTAGATGGGACTCTGCCAGGGAGTAATAGAGCTGGAAGGGAGGAGGAAGAAGAAAGATGAAGCAAGAGAAACAGAGACATAGACACTGAGAGAGAGTGAGAGGAGAGAGGAGAATGAAAAGAGAGAGGAGAAAGGGAGAAGCAGACAGGCAGTGCACCCAGAGGCTGCCTCAAACAGTCTGCAGCTGGGTTTGTGGCTGCCTAGTAGAAACTGGAGGTGACACTCAAGGCAAAATATTAGGGCTCTGTTTGCTGGCTGAGATGCAGCTTTGTCCTTGGGCCACCAAGTTCTGGTGGGAAAAGTGAAAGGAGAACCTCATTGGAGCTGTGGGGGCACCCATGTTGGGGATATTCAAGGTCCCACAACCTTGGTTTCTGTGCAGGGTGGGCCATATCATAGGACCCATCACTGTGACAGGTGTCAGCCAGACTCTTGTGGACCCCTGGGAACAGAAACTGTGACCCTCAAGGGTTTCCAGGCCTGGGGGAGAGCACTCCCCTCTTGCACAGGAAGGTAGCTCCAAGCAAGGCAAGTATATTCATGTGATCAGCCCTGGAGGTCTTGAATCCAGTGTGGGAAGCAAAGAGGGCCAGTGGAGTGGTGGAGGGGAGATGCATGTGCTCTAGGGATGGAGACAGCACCATGACGTCTGTAGGGAACTCGGAACTCAGTATCACAACCCCTGTGAGTGTGCTTGTGGGGTAACCGAGGGAGGGGGCATCCTGTAAGGCAGATGCTTCCTGGACTCTGGCTGCCTGAGGCATCAGTAAACCGATTCACATCCCACTGTAAGTCACAGGATCTCAGCCCCGATCAGCTGGGGAGTGGAGAGCGCTGAGCAGCTCTCCTCCACACGCCCATCTAGCCCACGCTCTAATTATGACTCCAAAGGTCATTCCTCAGGCCCACTGGCTTCATTTTTGCCCTGGAGCCTGGGGGCTGCACACCTCCAAACAGGCTGTGTGAAAATGCCTCTAGTCCCAGGTGAGAACTCAGATGCTCCCACCACTGAAGGAAGATTCAGTGCCTGCTGGGCCCTATAGGGCTTTTAGGGACCCGCAAAGTGTTTGCCTTTCTTTAAAAACAAACTTTTAGGTCAGAAAAAATGTTTTCGTTTACAGTGCCAATCTCCAAGCCTTTATGCTAAGGAAATAATAATGTTCCACATTTGTTTCCACACAATGAAGGAACCTTTTGAAGGCTAAGGTATCTTTTCGGTGTGATCAGGGTTGGAAAGTTCCCTGCAGTGGCCTGAAATTCTTACATTTTCCCTAAATGAGGAGAGGTGACAAACCAGGTGACTTCTACAGCAGTAAATCCCTGCTAGTGGGGGCTCTTCAGGCAGCCTGGCCCGCCTGAAGGAGGAAAGACGTTTGCAGAGTCTGGCATAGACCTGCCCTTGCCTGGCATTCAGAGCCAGTGGCCTGACCATGGGCAGAGACCGAGCAGTCTCCCTCCGTCCTCCTTTTCTGGAGAGACACCAGTGGCAGCCCTTTTAGTGACTGCTGTTGAGCTTTGGAAGCCCTGGCGGATGTCTCTGATCCCCCTAATCCATTTATCCTGTCTCCTGAATGCACTGGCTGAATGCGGGGACACAATGGCTCGGCTACACAGGGAGGCAGAGGGGGTGGTGAGCAGCACCCTCCGGTCCTCCGTCCACTCCTCCACCTCCCCACCCCCACGCCCTGCGCTGGAAGGCAGAACGCTTTGGTGGTAATAAGGCCCTGACAGTTTACATCTAAAAGCCAGGGGTTTGGATTTCTATCCTTCTTTAAATAGCCCCTATGAGTAGGGCTAGGTTTCTCGGAGTGGTGGCGGTGGGGGGGGGGGTGGTCTTTGCATCTTGGATGATGCTAAGAATTGAGCTCTGGAAGGCAGTGCT